GAAAGAAGGAAGAAACCAATTGAATTCGGCCCAGAACCCGAGAAATAGGACCCTTTCTGTTCCCGTTGATTTTAACATTGATGCGACTCTCACCCGCTGTACCCACTTGTCTCCCAACTATGCAATTTTCTCCTTCTTTGACCTTCGTAAATGTCGTGAATTCCTCCTATAAACTTTTCAGGCTACGCTTTACTGCAGTCTAGGTTCTTGTGAAACGAAAGTCATTCTGTCTGTCAAAAGTGCGGTGTCATCTTACTTGTTTTTGCAATCCGATTACCTGGCCAAGCGTAGTGCAGTGGAAAGTGGCGCCACTCACCACGCGAACAGTCCAGAAGTCGGTGAAGTGGTATCATGTCCGAGTAAGAGGATAGAAGCACTGATTCGTATGTCGGTTAACCCCGAAAGTCGTTGTTTAGGCCAAATTCCATTCGAAATGCCACTACGTCACCGAATAAAACAGGATGCGTGGCGCACCCAGAAACGTATTAATCAGCCATACATAGTGTATCAGCCATACATAGTGTGTGTGCTTGTTATGACCCACTGCGACTCGCAAGCAATTAGAGGGGTACGAGCGATGCGCAGCGATTGTGCCAGCGATCCCAGCAGCCAGTCAGCAACAAATCGCTGGGGCATCGCTTGAATTGTTCGAAAAGCTAGCCAGTCGAGTTTTGTTAGCGACACCTGCCTTATCGCTGGTCAAGCTTGCGTTGCAGCGCGAATCGCGCGACGGACCACAAAAATCACAAGTGCCCCGATCAATACTGAGGTGCTCTCCAATCCCGCCGTCATTTCTGCTTGATGGTGATGGTTGAATGACGAGTTCATGATTTTACTTGTTTCATATTCAGTGTTTCAAATTTAAGTGAGGCACTGCCGATTTTTGCGATTCACAGAATTGCGTGACGGGTCGCGAACTCTAATACCAGCTTTGGTGCGTCTGGCGCGAAACCTAACGTCTGCTTTGTGTGTGCGCAGTATTCTGGTAAAGTAAGTGACTGATGGAAGCACAGGTTTACAAGTTTCAGGTTCAGGTAAATTCAGCGCAGTTGACCAAATTCGACCAAAGTAATACGCTTTCATCACATTCTTGCTGCTGTTTTCTTGTGGATCTCTCAATAGTGGAACTCATACCACTTTAATGTGCTTAATTCTCACCGATCACTTCCACGATGTGGGCGTCACTTAGCAAGCCGTCTGGTCCAACAGCACATCTGTATTCACCACTATCGTTGGGTGTAGCATGCGATATGGTCACTCTAGCGAACTGGTCGTGGGCCTAAAATCAAATGACATAAAATATAGGCATATGCAAAACAAAAAGATAAAACAGGCTTGTACAAGCCGAGAAAACGAAAAGCTTATCACCCTGCTTCTATAAAAAAGAAATTTATAGTCTGAATCGGAAGGAAATGGTAGTTCTTTTTTAATCTTTCACTGGGCCGAAATGGTAGTTTCCACTGGCAACTTTACCCTTGAGAAAGGGCGTGACCTTCAGTGTTGCGCACTGTTTTTAATCGCTTGTGGAATCGTGCTACAAAAATACAAACATAGAAATCAAAGAAAAAACCAAAAATTTCCACGAATCAGAAAGACCTTGAATAGATATGGGGTCTGCATTTAGTGAGCAGAAGTGGTGTAGCGGCAAAGTGGCCGCGCTTAATGGTCCGGGGATCAAATCCTGGGTCGTGAGTCGCCCGGGCCAACCAAGCCTTCCATCCCTCCGGGGTCGGTTAATTGGTACCAGACTTGTCTGGGAGGATAAAAACACTGACTTGTACATCGGCTGGCCCCCGCAAGTCATTGTATAGGCCACATCGCATTCAAACGCCACTACGAATGTACAAATGGAAGTAGAATGCGTGCCGCATCCCAAAAAGGGATTGATCAACGGCAAATGCTTTGCATTCCTTTGCTTTTATTACTTATGTCGTTACAACAGGAATGATGAAGAGCCGTACTCTATCTCGACTACCGCAAAATAAATATTAAAAGCACTTTTCTATAATTTGAAGTTATTTTTGTGAACTTATTGATAGTTACGATGGCGCGCCTTTCATTCGAATCTGAAGTTGATCGCTGTTCTCTTCAAAACAAGGGTTACCTGAATTCTCTCGTCGTAATTGAGCAGGACACCATTTTTCATCCATACAACTGGCAGAACTCCACGTGTGTCACATTTGAGCTCGACCTAATAGTATAGCTGATTCAAGAGTGTGGAAATCACCAAAAGTGAACTTGCAGAAAAAATATTGCTGTAAAGGCATCGAAACAACACAAGCCATCACTGAAGCGTAATGGTGCCTGAGAGGAATAGAACCTTCACCTTTTCTCCAGCTTGATATGTCCTATGAGAGCTGGCTTGTAGGCGGTGCTCGGCGGCAACATTTCCTACAAACGATGATTTGTCATTGCCTTCCACAGAGTTACCATGACGTTCTTCAACGCATCGCCTTTCACAGCGCTCCTTCGTCTCAAAACTGAAAGCATTCGCAATGTAACAGCGCAATACAAAGGTAGTCACATCACAATTCTGAATGAAATACGAGGGTGAGGAGGGCAAAAAATACTTTTTGCTTCCATATTTGAAAATGGAATAGTAACACTATGCTAAATTCAGATCGTCGACCCCAACTGGTAACTAAATGGATATTTGGACTATTGAACAATTTCATCGTAGCTTTTCATAGGGACATTCGGAGAATCTGCAACGGGAACAAGGTGAAAGGTTCGTGCTCATCAAGTTCCTTGGGGATCGTGGACCATCACAACCGGTCGCCTGAAATGATGGTTGGCACTGCTCCAGCGTCTTGAGAGTCAGCGTTCTCTAGGAAAATTGTGTCTCATCCGTAGAAGGAAGGCTGGTAACAGCTTCAGAAAGCTCAACGGCAAAGGCGGATGACTTCACATTCTGGAGACGGTAAGTGGAGTGAACAAGGACTGTTTCCCCTATGAAGGAAAATCTCAGAAACATTAGTTATTAGGACTCAACAGCCGCGCATCTGGCGCCGACGAAGTTTCCTGATTACACGTGTGATCAAAAAGTCAGAATAAATACTTTTAGCCAATTTTCTGCGAGTTCTAAAGTTAGAACCATCATGCCATGAAGATCCACTTCAAGAAACTGATTTATTTCGCTAGCCCTTCCCCAATGAAGTCGAGAAAAATTACCAATGTTCCAGCGAGTTGTCATTCCATCAAGTAACTGACTTCAAGGCAGTATTTATCGATTTCAAATTAAGTTAAGGATGGTCAGTATATAAGAACAAGGAAAGAGGGAAAACCATGGGAAACGACCAGGAACCCGAGTAAGGGGACCCCTTCCTTGCCCGTTGATTTCCGCATTGATGCCACTGGATCCACTCCCCTCTTCAACGGTAGCGCTCTCTCTCTGCTGTTTCGATGGGCGTAGAGTGCAGCCACGCTGGCGATTCGGCGTGGGTCGAAATCTTCGCGTGCGTCGTTCGAGCGCCCCCAGGGAAGAGAACAATTTCCCCCTTCTTTGACCTTCGTTCCTATCGTGGAATCCTCCTTTAAGTCAGGTAAGAATAACTAGTGCAGAAGTGCGAGAGTCGACTCGTGCAGCACGTTCACCTCTTTCAAGATTCCAGCATTTCTAGAGTAGGCGTTGACCAAAAGCTACCTTTTCCTGCCCACAAACAAACCAAGAAATCCTTACTGGATGAACAATAGAAATGCATATGTATTTTTTTGCTGACTTACCGATTCTCGTTACCACGACAACCAGAATAGGTGAACTGTTTGCAAATGTCTTCCCCGACATCGAAGTACCACATGGTCACCGCATCACGACATGGTCCAGATGAGCGAGGCAGCTGGCTGAAAGAAACCAACAAATGTTTCTTACCACATTATTCGGTCAGCTTTGGACCGCTCAAGATCTAATGAATACATCTTGGAAACAGATAATTACAGAAAATGTTACCGTACCATATATCAGTCGTTGCGTTCCAGCTTGATTCTTCTCTACAAAGTGATTCGCAGTCTTCTTTCGACGAAAATCTTAACAGAGAATTTTTTCATCACCATCGTGAATGCCAGCCGACTGGACTCTGTATCCTTCGGAAAAAATATTAAACATTCTTGAAAATTCAATCAATTTTTGAAGTCACAGGTACAGATGTATCGCGGATCAGAGGGTTTACTTTTGGAACTGACGAGGTATTCATCAAGGTGGTGGATAGTAAAATCTTACCAGGAAAGCCTTTCAGGAAATACAGCGCTTTTTCGAAAATGGTTCCTTGTTTGTTATACAGACACGCGCAGGTTGTAAAACCGAGAACAAATTTTTCTGAGCGGCTCAGGAAGTGCCAAAAACATGTGAAACCAGGGCTTGTGGTTCGATCCCACTGGAGATAATTTTTGCATTTCTCTGATTTCCACTTTTTTGGGCTCATATATGTCTAAACTTATTCAGTGAACAAAAAGCTTCCAAAATGCAACTATTCAACGCTACAAATGCTGTAGAGTTACTAAAAGGAAAAAGTAATCCTTCTTAAGAAAAATTTTCTGCCTTTATTTTCTGGCAACTCCAGGGCCGTTTAGAAATAATTATCATCACTTCTATGCTCCAAACACTTGCCCCTATAACATGCACATACTGTTTTTAAAAAGCGCTCCGTGGCCAGAAAGAGTTTCTTGGTAAAAAATCGAGGTACCGAAGCCAAAAAATGTGAATAGACTATCTAAAAAGAGGATTCAAGTATCACGACAGGCGGGGGCTACGTCGAATCAGACAGTGAGTAGAACGCAAGAAATCACGTCATCGCGTGGGAGTAAATTAATAGTTTTCAAAGGACGAACGGAGAAGTCAACCCTGATACCTATTCGGTACCTACTTGAGAACAGACCGGTCATTCAAGCTTTTTCCAATGTGAGAATTCTATGACTACGCACCTGTTTCCATTTCCTCCGCATCCGCTCCAGAACATTATATTACAAATCCCTTTCGCTTTATCGTAGTACCACTTATTCACGGATGCTTCACAGCCACCGACCTCTGGGCGAGTGCATACATCTGTTCGCCAGCTCGCAAGGCACAGTTCACAGACTCCGTTCTTAATTGTACTATATTCTCATTAATAAGCATTCCGTGGAATGTGGACAAATCAGACATCGAACTCAAAACTTAAAAGCAGCCGGTCATTGAGCTAGAGTGGGGCGGAGAGGGCGGGGAGCGTGTGCGGAAAAGCGGCTTAAACATACGAACAAGCGTTAACTGGTTTATACATAGATTCAGCATCGCGATATCCCTCTAGGAAAAGAGGAAGTAACGCTTCAGGAAAACAAGCACTAGCCAATAATTGAAATATATGACAAAGAACTGTAAAGCGCCAATAAAAGTGACATAGTGCAGACTACGCTTGAGGAATTCGCACCTGAATAGGGGCAGGGCAAGGCAACTATACTGCCGCAGGCCGGTGGGACACGGTGACGGCGACCGGGAACGGAATTGTCGCCATAATTGAGAGTACGTTCTGCTCCAGCACAATGAAAATACCTATTTTCATTTCAGTCCCATTTGGTGCTACTTGCTTACATTCTACTGAAATCGTGCGCCACAAGGTTCTGCCGATTTCGTCGAGTTCCACTTTAGCATATGAAGGCACTTATTGTTGGTAGAATAAATTGGTCTCCAGTTAGATTAGAGCTAGAGCTGCGACGAGATGCAACAGTGAAGAGCTTAGAAGGTCTCATCTGTTTCCGGTTGATTTCCGCTTTGTACGAATTGCATCGGTGCTGACGTCATTGACCGTGACCCGCGCTCGCGCTCTGCCAAAAGGGGCTGGAGTCTGACGGCGAGCGTTCACCAGCTGGGGTAGTAGGTGGGTAGACAGAGGGACGTGAAATTTAATTAGACGGACAAAACCTTTAACCGCTTCAAGGGCGCTAACTACCCACGAAAACGCAGCGTTCGCCTCCTTAAGAGCAAAGGATTTCGTTATAGTAAGCGCATTTGCCCTTCTTCAATACAAAATTTATCGCGCCACCTGCCTTTGAGGCGCGGGTGATGGGAAAACAATTTCAAGTACTTTTTTGAGGGAATAGAATAATATATGAGCATTGATCGAGTGCTCGGGAAGAGTGCGGTGACAAAATTCTTGTAGCAAACGAAGTGTTCTAGAGAAACATACATAGTAAGTCAAAAAGCCATAGGAAATCGAGACCAAGAGAAAGAAAGAAAATAACTGGCAAAATTCGATATGGATAAACAACGATGCGCCTAAACAGTTAGGCGACGTTTTCGGATAGTTGGTTCGTCTATAAAAAACACATACCTCACTGGTAAAATGATTCGCATTCATATCACATCCACCATACATGAAGGAAGTACAAGAATTTCTTTCTGGATCAAACCTTAAATAGGGAGTTTTTTCGCTTCCTCCACAAAGTGGAGAACACTGTTTTCAACATACCTCCATCTTAGAATGTCATCGTAACAAGACCCGTGTTCTTCAGGTAAAGCACAAAGTTCCGGTAGGTCATAGGTCATAGGGTAAACTTTTCCAATAGACAAGACCTTGATGAAATACAAATGTTTAACTAAGCAAAACGACAAAGAAGCGTCCAACTGATCACCTTTTTCTCATCGTAATCCATTTTAAGTAGAACATCGTCGTTCACGTTATCATCATAACTTTCAGGAGATGTTTGTTCTGCTTCATTTAATTGGAGTTGTACGCGTTCCGGCGCCGCATCGTACTGACGCACTGCCTCAGCTGTGGGGAACGTGCGGGTTAGTTCTCGTCTTGCCTGAAGTAAGAAAAGTTCTACAATCAAGAAATTTTCCATCAAAAAAGAACATAGTCGACATATTCATAGCAAACGAGAACTAGTGATGGTCAAGAGCCGAGCGATATCAACCTATACAACCTCTACAACCGCCTGCCCATATGCATTGAAGGCGTTCCGGGAACCTGGTCTCTTAGCATTGCTTGAGTTGTTCAAATTTAGAAATACATCGTTTAAACGAAAAGGGTTGGGATTTTCATTGCACGCGTTTACCACTATAAAGAGCATTTTGATGAAAACATCAAAGAACAGCTAATAAGTCCTGACTTTCTCATTCTGAATGGCAAATTTCGGTAATGAACCAATTATCTTCAAATAGAACCCGTGCAAAAACTCCAAAATGTGACCACCAAGAGATCGCTATGCACCCGTATTGCTAAACTCACACAGAGTTCGTGTGATAAGATATCTCTGGCCACTGCCAGTTCTGAAAAAGCAAATGCCTCAGGTGTTGGATAACAAGTCTTAACCAGGAAGAACTCCCAAAACAAAGTTCCCCTGAGTTTTTCGCGCAATATGCGTAAGATTGGCATTTAGAATCGAAATTTGGCTTCAAACAGCTACTCAAATCACTCACATGATGTAGTCGTGCGCACCTGGTTGCGCACTCATTAGCAGTTTCAAAACGATTAGTATTTCCTCCACAACCACCATAAATGAACTCCTTGCAAATGCCATCGGTTGAATCGTAGAAGAATGATGGCACATAAGCCCTGAATTATTACACTATGTTCTCATTAGACAGTCTCCTAATAGTATTACATAACCCAATACATCTTATTTGTATTATTCTTTTAGTTATTTACTGTATTATTACATATGCCATCCCAGTATCCTCCGCAATGCTCTCAGTCACACAAATTTGAAGGCACATCACAGCAAATTCGGTGTAAAGGATTCTGATGGTCTGTAGGATGGACTGCGATAGCGCAATCATAGATGTGGCAATCCAGTGCATGGAATTTACCAGAAAAAAAGCGCTGGGCTCTGCATAGTTAGCTGCAGCAGCTGCAATGCCCCACCGTCGGCAGTAGGCTAATGTCTGGACACCTCGCATCTCTTGCATTCGCTCACCCCATACTCTCCTCGTCGCGCTCAGTCTCATTGCCTTGCACAACCACACTACAAAGGAGAGCAAGCCTTGACTTAGGCGTTTTTTGAGACGCATCTCTCCTTTCATTTACCTCTGTTCTTTACTGATACTAAACGAACGAATCCCGACTGGGACAATGCCAGTTGGCCACAACACAAGCACATCTGCGTCGTCAATTTTCTTACTCGGTCGGCACACTTAGCACTAAACTGCAACTTCCGATATTGGTTGCTACGAACCAGCACCGTTTGTTCCTGAGGCATGCTAAACCCTATGCCTTCAAGTTTCACGTCACTAGTACCTCACTATTCGAAGAATATGTTAGAGATCTTTGGATCACATTGTCAAAAAGTTGGCTCCGTCGCGGCCATTTTCTTCAACATTAATGGGAAGGAAAAGTGCAATAGTTGGTGTCACGTGCAAAAGTCAGTCACCTACAAAAACCCGAACTAATGCAGGAGGTTAAAGCTCTGAGGTGGGTGAATCAATTTGATTATGCAAAGAAAACAGTTATGTCCTCTGAATTTTAAGTAAAAAAAAACAGTGAGACTTCGCACACTTCCGCGCGTCCATCACAGTTCCTCTGTGATATTGAGCACGGCGATCACAGTTCTCGAATTTTCACTAACTATTACCATTCAGCCTCCTTCTCCTGTGATCTTGGCCACAACTTTGTAATACTCTTTTTCCTCGATGTCTGTGACTTTTTCGGGCTGGATTACAAATTTCGGAAACCACGCTCACCTCGGTGCGTACCACGCCAATCGGAAGAATTTGAAACTCTTCACTCGTCCGCCTCAATACACTTTTCCCAAGTCTCTGGAGCGTTCCATAGCGAATTATAAATTTCAATCTCCCACTTCGGTGCACGTCCGCCCACCAACAACATTTGAACTTTCCTCCTCCACCCGCCGTTTACTTCTTCTCAGTCCTTGGACCTTTCAAAGCCGAATTATAAGGATTTGCATAAGTTACCGCTCACTGAGGACACGCACCGCCCACTGTCTACTGGCCTCCACCTAGCTAAAGTATGCTTTGTTCACCCTAGGGATGAGCCTCTCTAGCATTTTTTCTACTTCCTATACCGTCTAATAACAGAGCCACTAATTTTCAGTCCTGCCTGAGTACGCTCCACAAACTACAGCATGGTTTTGACAATATGACCTCGCAGCCGTGTGCACACCTTTTCCCACTTTTTCATGTTCTCTGCGTTGAATTGGGACCGAATTAGAAGTTTTAGCCTTTAGCGTTGCTCATTTCTGCGCATGCCTCGCCCACTGAGTGGTCATCTACTCCCCAGTAGTCCCCACTTCCCCAAGATACCCTCTATTTCAGAAAATGAGACGTGTAAGTGGAGACCGCACACCACAAGTTACAACGGCTAAGAAAAAAGAAAA